TTTCTTGAGGCTACTAATAAATAAAAGACCGATCACTATTCGTAAAAATCCGTTAATTAACAGTTGTTTACAAACAGGTACGTTTTTTCGTGTTTTCGGTAGAGATTAGGATAAAACCACCTTCAATATATTCAGTCTTCATTTGATCAATAGATCCACTCACGGTTGTGGTTACAGGGGCGTGTACGACATCTACGCGGGGAGACTAAGGCCCAAGGTTACGCTACCTCATCGCAGGAGAGCGTGTAACCAGCTTTTCCGTTACTGACAGCTATTATAGCCACCAAAGACGTGTCTATCACACGGCAAATTGTTCCCTACTAGCTATTCGCAAGCAAGGTGTGATGGGCGCACCTGACACTTCTTTAGGGCTAATAAAGGTCATGGTACCAACGATAAGGAATCAACTACAACAACAGCGCAACGGTACTAAGGTGAATGCTCAAGCTTTTATATTTTTCCTTAAAGAAGGGCACCCCTTAGCTTTATTATATGCTGCATTCGGCGCGGTGTACTCGCCGGCCCTCTTATTGGCTCATCTAAAAAATGAGAACACTCGTTGCGCACCATGTGATTTTTCCCCAATTGACCATCGTGAGCTCTTTCGGTTATGTCGGCTCGACTACTCCGGGATTCTCGACGTGCATCCGCTACTTCAATAGTGAAGTTTCGGAGACGATCTTTTAAACGTTGCTATAGCACTGTTTAATTCGAGGCATCCCGGCGCTTTAGAACTGCGCCACTGTTGCCTTATGGTAGATTGTAGCTAATTATTAGATAATGCTGGGGCACCTCACAATCTACCATATTGATTTTCACACCCGACACGCTCGTAAGCGCGGAGCGTGTCTGCGTTATGGCATCACATAGAACACAGATGGGTTAGTATTTCTCAAAAATACTATGAGTTAAGCTCATTATACTTTTGCCATGACTGATTTCTGTTCAATTTTCACGTGTTCCTTTTTAAGGTTTTAGATAAAGACGCTGCAAAACTCGGTGAGCTCACTTGATTTAATTAAAGATTTCATATTATATATTCGTGTGTGTTTTGCCTGCATCTCACATTAACATGTTGCTTAATCACATGCTGATTCTCAGCTATGGCGTTAGGACCCGCTCATGAAGTTCAATTTTATGAGTTTAAATCGCTATTTCTGCTTCAAAGTGTGGCCAATCGGATAGCAGCAGGTCGACTTTGATCTATAGCCCTTCTACAGTCAAGGCAGAAGACACTTTTAGCGGCCTTAGTGGCGTCAATAGCCTCGTTGCTTTCAAACCACACATGTAGAATTCGGTGAAGCTTAAAACGTCATGTGCCGTGGTATCCGATGCAGATTTAATGGGTGGGACGCCCTAGCTCCAGCAGCGCGATATCTTTGCACAATTAATTTAGAGGATATCCTCGCCCCTCTATTTGATTATATTGTCTATACATTAGTTTAAAACTTTTTGGTAATTAACAAGCCTTTTTATTTATTCTAAAATATTCTCAAATGCATGGAAAAACTGTAATGCACGACGCTTTCGCTATAATGGCTACTCGCAAGTCAAATCGGCAAAATACTTTGTGTAGAAGCTGCTTAGATTATATCGTTATTGGTCAAAGTATCGTCGACAGCAGCGAGATGAACCATTTGCTCAGTCGTCCATAAAATACCACTATGACGATATTACCTTTTGAATACCGGAACGCTAACACTATGCATGCGATATGAATTTGACGCGTTGACAGCTTGTTCTTTGTATCTTGTACGTGATGTCTTCATCGTTTGGGACTACTTGCAGTAAATATTATATTGTTCTGTGCTGTATATCAGCGTGCAGTGGGATAGGGAAAACGGTGTTGACATGCGAAGTACCGTAGCACTTAAACAAATCTAAGCTCCCAAACTCCTCGCATCGTAATTCCTACTTCAACTTAACACATACTGCATCTGCACGTACGCTTTTGTAATAACAGATTTATTTTGCGACGTAACCATTATTCTATTCGACCATTTTTGATCATGGCAACAAAAAGCGCGAGTGCCATTTAAAAGCCGGCCGTTCTTATTCTTACCTAAAGATAGACTCGGCAAAGAACATTTATCCATCTTGACATTAATGTTGGGATATGTCGCTGCGCCCTACAACGCCTGATTTTTATAGATCATAAACGACTTGGGGTCAAGATAGTGTACTCTTAATCTGACATGTATTGATGCAAGTACCGCATTGACATAAGCAGAGTAGTTTTCCAATACCACTACATCTATGAGAAACAAACGCGATACCGCATTCACTCCTATCGCTATCTGCTAGGAGTAAAATGCAGCCTATGGAAAAGGTTAAGAAATCACAATAGACATACTTGTCAATCATGTTCTGAAATAGTAAAAACTGTGACATGCATGATCCCTCTTCCAAAGCTTCAAGAACCGCCTCTATCGTTGCACCTCAGCACTTCGTGATTGTCGTGTCATATCGGCATCGTGTCTCGTACTTAGTCAAGACGTTGGTTGGGGACGAAACACTTCCTGAAATATTTTTAGGGCAGATGTAGTAGACAATGCACGATAATGGGAGCTACCATAGGTCTTGCTTTCCAATAAAACTAAAAAAGATGTTGGTCTCTAAGGTACACTTGTCTCTGCCAGAAAATAGTTTTTTTGAGCGCATACACTCGAGCACTTCCCACAAAATTTTAATTCAACTCTTCACATTCGGCTATCAACCTTTGCACGAATACAAAATTGTTATAGATCTTTACATAGCTACGATGAGTTCTGTAATGTTGCGCCGCCAGATAGTGAGGAGGCTAGTCCCTACGCCATCCTAAATCTGAAGCGTCCCGCTTAAATCACTTCCCGCAGCAAGAGGTATATTTTGATCTCTCAACAGCAGTTGATAAGGGTACCGAAGAAAGCGCAGCTCACCATGAATTTCCGTAACAAGACCCTTTTGGAATCTCGCATTTGCATCGGACCGTGGCTGCAGTAAGCATATCATAAGCGTGCATACTTTATATTTAATCGTTGCTTGAGACTCACCCTTTTTACCTGTATTGGTCCCTTGTGTTTATTCTTCAGGCTTCAAGGAAGTGGTCGGTGTCACATTGATTACGGAGTAAATCGTGCCGTTAAAGCCGGAAATGGTGCTCGACGTTTAAGATCTCTCAGCTTACCAGTTGCGATGGACAACAGACGTGCAGATGAGGAAGTGAGAGATTCCTTAGCCGCCGAGTTCATGGAGCTTACATATGTCCGTTCTGTGGGAGCAGAGAACGAATACTTTTTGGCAGCCCCCTTCGATCTCGTCTGATTGTCACGAAGGGTCAAGTTCCTGTGTATTAGTGGACGACGAATTCGATACGTAACGTTAGTTGCAGCGCACTTATCTCCTGGCTAAACAGCTACAGGAACGATGGGCTCATCGAGCGATGGCAGCAGCGGCACCTAAAACATTCCTCGCTTGTCTACCTTACAGCAAAGCCACAAGAAAGTGAACGTGCGCGTAGAACACCATCTTTGATCTGAAGTTTGCCAAACAGCGCGGGGCGAAGGACGACGCAAAACGGCATGATCCATTTGATCATAGACGTCCACGACATGAAGTGGCATCTCAAAACTCCCAAGAGTTGTCTGAGTTTGGGAATCCCCGCCACTTCACAAGATATTGGGTTCTATTCTATCAACGACGTCAACCCACGAGGTGTTTTTAAGTAGTAGTGGACGCCACTCATCGAGAAGAGTCGGCGGCGGGCGATGACGACATGGTCGATCGCCGTCCGGTGACCCGCGATGCTCTTGGAGCGTTAGAGAACAATGTCCGTTGTCATCGGCGCTCTGCCGAGCATCTCTCCAGCGTTGCCTACCGCTTTGATGTTTATAACATTTCTTCTTCCTTTTTCCGTCTGCATATTTTTTCTGCCTGCCTTGGCTTTCAGCCATCACATCACATACGTGTCGTAAGACACTAAGTCTGGTAGACAAGAAGTCTCCGACTTCTTTACGTATTGTGAGGGGGCTGACATCAGCGAGCCGTTCGGCTATTCCTCCCCCACCAAGCCATGAGCCATGGGATGGCGGCGTCAGAGGAACACGAGGGTGAATTAGCCCGTTCACGTAGAACGGCGTGTAGCCGGTAGACAAATGCGCTGCATTGTTCAGTGCAAACTCTACGATTGGCAACATGGCGCTCCAGCGTCTCGACGTCTCAGCGCAGACGCTGCGAAATACGTCTTCGATGACGCGATTTACCCTTTCATTTTGACCATCGGTCTGTGGAAGATCCACTGTCAACATATTTAGCGTAGTGCCTAGCACCCTGAAGATAGTCGACTAAGTTTTTCCCGTAAATCGGGGGTCTTTAACAGAGACAATCGACTCCGGGAGTCCGTGTTGACGAAAAACACGATACACGAACAGCGTTGCTGTACCGACTCCATTGATGGTGTCTGGCACCGCCGCCAAACAAGTCATCTTGCTCAACCGGTCGACGACCACCACGACACCCGTGTTGCCTGCCGAATCTTTCGACAGGCCAAACACAAAGTCCAAACTCATGGACTGTCAGCACCCAGTGGATACCGGTAAGCTGGCCAGCGGAGTAGCCGCGTTTGGAGAGGGTTCTACCCGTTGACAA